ATAATAAATTATCTATTATTTCATAGTTTTTTGCTCTATTTCTTATCGCATCGATATCTGTATGCTCAAAGCTTTCGGGGTCTTTCAAATAAGCATAGATATTTCCAAATTCAGGATCAGCTTTCAGTTCAGTAATAACCGTATCTCTAGAATCTAAAATTTTTGAAGTCAACACAGCGCATTTAAGTTCATTACCTTCATCGTCCAGTTTTATACGAGAAAGTGCGTCAGCTACATTGTTTTCCTTACCCGGTTTATATTTTATTGTGATATTATATTCTTGGAGTTTTAAAGCCCATCTTATTAACCTGGGCGTTAGGTTTTTTCCCGAGTAAAGTCTACCAACAGCCGCATGATCCGAAAAGACTGTTACTGGCGATTTGCCGAAATAAACTCGAAATTTGTGTACAGCCATTAATACGGCTAATGTTTCTCTTTCTGTAGCTGTATAATTCCTTTGTGTTTGATTCAATGTTTTACTAAAAAATGCCAGCGGATGGTTATTTTGCATAAGAACCGCACCCACCGCATAGTCTGATGCATCTGCCGCAATTTCCAGGTTTTTCGTCCCCCTCAGGGAATTTTAAAACAGGGGCATTAATAAGCGCTTCTTTTAATCTTTCAAAAGCTGTGTTAGCTTCCGCTGTCCACGTAAATTTACTCTTTTTTCTTTTGATTACTAAGAGTGGTTCAACAATATTAGCGAAATCTTTTATGAAAGATCGATAGTAAGAACATAGTCCAAGGAAAGACGAAAGTTTCTTGGCGGTGTTGGGCGGTGGGAAATTCTTAATAGCTTTTATTTTTGAATCTTGCGTTTCTATACCCTTTTGCGAAATTTTATAACCGAGATATTTAAGTTCTTTAGTTGCGAACTTGCATTTTGAGGCGTTAATTGTAAGACCGGCCTCTTTTAATAATTTAAAAACTTGTTCGAGGTCATTAATGTGTTGTTCCAACGTACTACTCGTTATAATTATATCATCTAGATAAATTAAAGTTGATTTTCCTAGGACAGGCTTTAGAACAATGTCCATAGCTCTCTGGAATGTTGATGGGGCCCCACACAACCCAAAAGGCATGCGTAAAAATGCATAAGTGCCCGATTTTGTTATAAACGCGGTTTTATGTATATCTTCGGGTCTCATAGCTATTTGATAGTAGCCAGACGTTAAGTCCAAAGTAGACATATATCTTCGTCGATTTGATCTGTCTAATGATCTCGTCTATAACCGGCAAAGGGTAAACTGGGAATTTAGTTATGCTATTTAGTTTTCTATAATCGATAGCAAACCTCCAAGCCCTTTTATCCGAAGGAGGAAACTCGTTCTTTTTCCTACATAGTACGACTGGACTCGCGTATTCACTATTTATGGGCGTTATTATTTTATTCTTTAACATCTCCTGAATATGTTCTTCGATGATTACGTCTTTTTGTTTGTCATAGCGATAAGGTTTAGTCCTACAAGGTTTTTCGGCATTTAATTGAATCTTGTGAGTCACGATCTGACAGTTTCCCGGTTTTTCTGAAAACAAATGAGAAAAAATTACTCACCACTTGCTGTATTGCTTTACTTTCCTGGTCATTCAAATGGCTAAGGTCCAATTCAGGTGTCTCCACCAGGTTCCACCACCCTCTGGTCCATCTCCAGCACCACGGAACTATCTTGAAAATTTAATTTGGCCCTCGCGGCCCTTAAAAAGTCCATACCTAAAATAAGAGAGTGTTGGAGGTGTTTCACCACAAAAATTAATACTTTGAGATTTTCCTCTTTTATCTCTAAGTTTAATGATACTTTCCCGATGCAGTGACATGTTTTTCCTTGCGCCGCTATAATTTCCGTATTTCTGGTTTCAAAGAGTCGTATCCTATAAAAATTCTTTTTGAAGAACGTTTCACTCATGAAATTTCCTTCTGCCTTCGATGAGGGCTTCTACTGGTACATCGCCAACCAGGACTTGTATAATTGGTAGCTGTGAGTTTTTTACGATGACTGTATTTAGATGTCTATTTGAGGGTTTTTCTAAAATTTCCGGGGTCTGGACTCTCCCTTTCACAGGCCCCTCTAGTCGTTTAAAGCTTTCCTTTCAATCTGTGTCTTCTGGGTACGCGGATGCTTATTTTCAAATTTTCTTTTTGGGCCTTGACCTTCGAGTTTCGATGCGTTAGCTTGATATAGTTCTTTCCCCCATATGAGCGATTTCCATTTCTTGGTTTCCTCCTTCCTTCTGGTACTTTGAGAATATGTTTCCCCTCTCGCTCTTTCCGCGATTCTGCGATTTTGAAACTTCACCGCCAATTCGAAAAGTTCCTGCAATGTGGTTGGGTTTCTAATTTCAAAGTAGTCTTGGACAGCGGGTAACAATCTTGGTAATATTATTTCAATAATCTCCGCATCGGGTTTCTTCCCATACAGCATATCCGTTAGCTTGATTTTTCGTAAAATAAAGTCCGTCAATTGTGCTGTATCCCGTTGATAGAAACTATATAGCTCGGCTTCCAGCCGTGCGCGATCTTTCACTATGGGGAAGGCCTTTACTAACGATTTTTTGAAATTTTCAAATGTATACGTCGGGCTTCCAAATTCACCTAGAAGAAATTTGCCTATATTTTTCCACCATAGCGCGGCCTGTCCTCTTAGTGCTGATGTGGCGATGGCAACTTTTTGTCTTTCAGGCACAGGGATAGAGCTGAAAGTGGTTTTCTATACCTTCTAAAAATACGGACACCGAATTTTTTTCCGTCGAAATAGACGTTTGGCTTGATTGATGCTCTCAAAGTCTGGACCAGGTATCCAAATCCTTCTAACTGCGTTGTCATTTCTTGGTGTTGTCCAGCGGCTTCCATCCAGTTTTCGGCCATTTCAGTTCGATAAGTGTTCGGGCGCCAATATAACGTTGCGCGCCTCTAACTTGCACGCAACCAAGAGGTGACTGTGAAAGCTTGTATAAACCACAGAGTCTTATAAAGGGTTTAAGTCCCTTTTTATTCAACGTAATAAATTACAATTGCGTCCTCTTGACGCTTACAAACTGTGCCAACTAGGCAGTCAAAATAAAAATAATAACCTGAAAAGAAAGTAAAGACAATATTCTAACTACGAGGCTCTCTAAAATAACTAACTCACCGCGTTTTACAAATACCGCAGCTAATTCAGCAGACTTGAAGCTCACTGGAACAATTGCAACTACTTCCCGCCAAGCACATAGGCCGCAACGCGGGGTTCTTCAATTCTCGATTTCTACCTCCGCGCTCGCTAAGTAAGAATAACTCTCTCACCGAACTCGTTTCCTTCTATTTAAATCATACTACTTCCGCTGATAATTTGAATGCTTGCGCGTTCTACTCAAATTTACATATTCTGGCATTGGCAGTTCCAGGGGAAAGTAAGGCTTGACAGGAAAGATAGTTTAAACTTAAAATAAATGTTAGTTAAAATAAATATAAACCCAAGTAAAAAAATGAACATCAATTCTTTAAACTATCATTTAATAAAAGGCAAACTATTAGATTTCTCTTACTTTAGAACATGCATCAAAAATTCCTCAAAGAATTAAAAAAAACAAAATCTCTAAGATCTTGAGTGCATGAAAATACAAAATCCATTTTGATGATTTTGCACCATTAAAAAAATTAGCAATCTTTTCATTACACATAAACGCAATAAAAATCGGATTTACTTTTATAGGGCCATGGGATCCATATTAAACACACGTTTCACAGAAATAGAATTCTTTGCTAATGCGTACAAGATTTTTTACAAATTACCCCCTTTTCCGATTAAATAACAGTGACGTCCAAAGGTCACGACGTATTTAGCTCTCATTTCACACAAAATAATGCGTAATCGGAATTGAGTACTTCTCACCTATTCCAAAGTCCTAGGTAGTAATATTTCCAAATGTGCCAAACACGTTACCATATTCAAGATCGCTTTTTTTTTTTTTTTTTTTTTTTAAATAAGAAATTTTATGAGAAACATAAGTCTCTTTGCTTATATTAATTTATAGCAAAGATTACTGTTTAGCGGTGAAGTATAGTTTAGGTACCCCTTGGCGATTTTGGCGGTACATGGATTGTCAATTCTTGACTCGTTAGTTTGGTTTTCGAAGCGGCGTTTACTCTTTTAACTTCCATTTACACGTGACCATTTTACTTAAAAAAACCACAGAATTGCCCAGCTTGCATTGTGCACTCCTTTACTTTGTCCATGTACACATCGATATATTTTCATTAAAAAGGTCAAAGGAGCACAAATTCTACATATAGGCAACAAAAATACACAATCTCAATGAAATACATTTTAAATCAAAAATCAAAATAAAAAAAAAGAAAAAACATGTTTACATTAGCATACCAAAACCAATATTCACTTACCATGATTTCGAGTTTGCTTGTACACCCAGCCACGTAAAAATCAAAATACATCATACTTAAAGACTTTTTTCAAACCAAACTCTTCTGATCAAACGCTTCACATAGTGACCATCTGACCTTCTTCCTACAACCCATTCAATCCATCTAACATTTTAACCGCACACAAAAAACGTTTACAAAACATCCCATGATTCAAAATTTCCCAGAATCATGCACCCTATTATGTCACAATAGGGTTTCCATGACATTCAACTACTCAGGCTACCATAAATGAAACAACAACTTTGCCATAATTGCAAGGGGTACCTTAAAGTCGACTCTACCCCTGTTTAGCAAACTGATAGTTAAAAATAAAGCATATAATTCCACATGTAGGTACTTGTCTGCATGGATTGGCTGTTTGCACGTGTTTACTCTAAATTTACCTGAACCCAGCAATTCAGCAGAATATTTAAACTAGGTTGTGGATAATCAGAAAGCATTTAATTTATTGGTAGTATTTTATAGTCTGATGAACATTAAAATTTTATGTAAAAGTATTTAAATTTTTCAGTTAAAATTTAAACTATGTGTGAAGTCAAAGTGAAGAGAAGTCTGTTTTAAAAGACGTGGTTTTATTTAGGGTTGAAAAGTATCGTCCTAAAACATTTAAAGAAATTGTTGGCAATGAAGAAGCAATTGAGCGTTTTGAGGTAAGAACACTATTACATTTCTTATAAAATGTTAAATGAATATCTTATTGATTGTCTATAAACTGTTTTCTTAAATAAATTTAAGCCAGTGAGAGTGTAGTAGTGTCTGATTGGGTGAAACAGTTGACTTACTAATTTATCTAAAACTGAATTTCATTGGCAGAATGAAATTCAATTTTGTATGCATGGGTATTTTTATGAGGTGATCAGTATGGGTATTTTTATAGCTTTAATTTTTCATGTGTCAGTTCCTGTAAATGTGAATTCCAATATGTGCTTCCAATGTGAGTCAGTTCCAGTAAGCCGTATGTGAAGGAATCTCATCCAAATGTGTATAGTCCTTAAATATTTCACCATACTAAGTCACTGGTCTATTTTTATTTAGTGATATTTAATCTTTCAGTTTGCAATTTTTAACTTAATGAACTATAAAAAAGAAAGAATTGGGAAAGAAATAATAATAAAGATATGGGCTCTACTCTTATATTCCCCCTAAAATTACCAAATGTGGTGATATATGTTCTGTGCTGGTTTTTGGCACGATTGTGGTGCTGTGCGGTGGTTTTGGGGACGATGCTGTTCGTATGGCAACCCTTTTGACGTTGAAACTTAACTCTTTTGCTGCAGTGGTTTAAGTGCTAATTGATTTGTGTCGTACGTGTTTTGAAATGGCTTATGTTGCATCGGTGGACGTGGTGGCAAGATTTCAGTCACTTATTTTAGATTGTGTGAAAGTAAATTAGTATTAAAGTATGATGTTGGAGTTGTTAACGAGTCTTTTGTTCACGTGTGTGTTATGAGGATCGAGGTATTTTGAATTTCTGTGGGACTTTAAAATGGAGTCTGATGCGGAGCTGCTATGAGAACTCAGACAAAGAAAGGCGTTTGATAGTTTGTATGGATTTGCAGTCAAATGCTTGTGGTAACGTATTGGCTTCAGCGGAGTTTAAGATTGGATAATGTTTTCTGTGGTAGTAGTAACTAGGAGAAGTTTTATTTACTTGAAATTTTGAATCGCCAAAGACGTGTTGTCCCAAAAATTGTGGCCTTTGTTCAAGATGTTTGTGCCTGGCTACTTTTATTAACGAATGTATTATGGAAGTGATTTATTTTCTATTTTTATTTTGTAGAATGTATGTTCATTGTTTTTACTATGAAGTTCTGTGTTTTGTTGTTTTGTGAATTTTTTGTAATTTTAGTTATTTTAGTTTATATGTTGATTTCTGCACAAGCTTAGATTGTGCCAATTCGAGATGTTTTTTCAAGTTTAAAACAGGATGCTCTGTGCATGGTCTTCTATATAATTATTAAGTGAGGTGAATGAGTAGTGTGTAGATTCGTCATTGCCTATATTTTGCAGTTGTAGATTTTTTAAGTTAAAACATATGTGTGTACCTGGTTCTTGTCAAATATTTGTGGTTAGAAAATTTACGTTTTTGCTATCTAAATTTTTTGTTTTTGTTTCGGATTTTTAGTTTAAATTGTGTTTTCAAAACGTTTGCATATGCAAAAACCACATTTTGGAGACATTTTAGGCTTAAAGTTTGAAATTAGACAAAAATTTAGATAGTATTATGGCACTGTGGAGTTTCTCGCCAAAAGTGTTTGGCAAGAAATTTGTTGCCGAGCGAAAGCATATACAGTCAAAAATCTTTAATCCGGACGTCCATAATCCGGAATGATCTATAATCTGGACACTCAAAGCTACAAACTTTCTGCGCATGCGTAAACGCATAATATATTTACGCATGCTTGTTTAATGTATAAAGGACGGTATAAGCTAAGCTAAAAATCTAATCTATTAAAATGTTGCAGATGCGTTGATTCTTAATCTTCTAATTGGATCCGGCTATATTTTTGCAGACTGTTAGAGGCATTTTATACAAGTAAGCATGTTTCAATGGTCCATTCAAACAAAAAGGAAATTGCTGCAAACACTGGATAAAGGAATATCCTTTCGTTCTCTAACCATCCGAAATATGATATGAATTTCACACTGCTCTGCCGGGGGGGGGGGGAGAAAACGTCGCAGCGTGCATGAACTGCTGAAGTGAATCTGTCGCACGTCTTTATTTCAGGGCGATGTTCTTTTATTGATTCTAATCTTCCTAAATGTAGATTTCATCTCGCGTGTCTCGTCTTTTGATATGATTTAAATCAAATCCTCGTATTATAAATACACAAAATACACATTAGTTTTCTGGTTGCAATTTTATAAATTTAACTATGCGCGTTTGGAAAGAATGTTTAATAAAGTAAAAAATAAATATTAAGCTTTTTTTTTTGTAAATTTTGATACCCTTTAGATCATAATTGCTCTTAATTTCATAAATACAGTTCATATTTTAATTTATAATTTCTTGTATGCCACTACAGATTAAATTGTGATCTATCATCTGGAAATCTCCAAAGTCCCGACGAGTCAGATTAAAGACTTTTGACTGTATAAGGTAGTTTGAGTCCAGAGAAAGGGGTGTGATAAGGAAAAATAAAAGTAGCTGTAAGTCTCTTACAGTGTCGTTTTAATTAAAAGGAATAAATAATAAACAGTCAGATGCGGTACAAACATAAGGTAAATTCGTAAAGTTTGCTACTTAGCAAATTAACTCTAGCCTACTCTAGTGTACTCTAACAGCCTAACTGAATAACAGTCAGATCATCATTCTAATATCTAGTATAATAGATTGTGCAACTTACAGAGCAGGAGTATGTGAGCATGTGGGAAAGGCTTAAAAACATAAGTATTTTAGAGAAAGGCTATTGCCATTATAGACCACTGGTTGAATGAATATTTCTGTCAGAACAGTGTGTAAATAGAGCTCGTTGTGTATCTATGACAGAAAAACTAATTTCTGGCCCACCCCGCTCCTGCTTTACAAGCATTGCCAAAAAAAAAAGTAGGAAAAAAAAATCAAAACACTTATTCACGTATAATGATTTCTGTCGGAGCTTGAATAATTATTAAGGGAAAAAAGAGTGCTCATAGGATCCCAAGATGGAAAAATACATATATAACAGAATTTTGGGGATAAAAAATTTTTGTGAAATTTTCCTTCATAGAGTATGGTATTGGGGAACAGAGATAAATCTCTAAAGAAAAGAGCCTGCCACTTAAAAAACAAAATTAAAAAAAAAGGAAGCCCTAGCTTAGAGATTTGATAAAAAGTTATTTTCAATTTTGGTGAATTTTACACCATCAGGCATTTTTATCCATCATAATTATTATTTTTAGGGATTTTAAGAAATGTATAAATAACTGCCTTAAGTACAGCATAATAATTAAAAGATACAAAAATAATTATGTTCATCCATATTTCACTCGCTCGCAAATATGAATTATTCAAAACAGTTGCAAAAAATAAATGAATAACAAGCCTTTTGTACCTTAAAAAGGATTGTTTAATCTATAATTAATTTAATTAAATGATAATTCTTATTTAATCATTTGCCCGTATCTGAAACAGGCAAAAGTTTACTGGCATGTGTCTTACATGGGCAATCTTGTATCTCACCGTTATTTATTTTTAATGCCTGTCTGAGATTCGTTACTAGTTACAAAATAGACTAGGCTAGAGATTATAATTAAAACTTATTTACATAAGGGCACCCTATGAAGATTTTTTTTTTTTTTTTTTTTTTTTGTTAGGGTGTGTGTGGTGTGTAAAACGCATGCTGCGTTTGATGATAAGCTATAAGTTTGTTAGAAATTCTTTGTTTAAGCGTTGTTGTGGTGTGAAAAGGTACTATATCATTTTATTGCCATTAAATCACAAAAGTAAAACAGTTAACCATAAATTAATTTTTTTTTACTAGTGTTTTGGTTATAAACTTGTTTAGGAGAAGTTATCTAATAATGGACACTTTGATGATTTTGAATATGCCAATTATCAGACAGTTCAGTGATTAAGTTATCTTTTGAGTGATGAAAGTGGGAGGAGTGAGTGAATCTGAAGATAATAATGACCAGATTCTGCAGTAGCAAGAAATAGGTATCAAAATTCGTACAAATCAAATAATAACAAGTACAAATCAAAAAATAACTTTCACTACACTATACATTCATTTTGTGTCAAAAAAACTCGATCATTTTTTACCAGTTTTTTCAAAAAAGAACTCGTTGCTTGCTTTAAGTGGTTAAACATAACTTAGATTATCAGTATATTAGAAATTCATAAACAAAATTATTCAAACTATATACTTTTTGTACTATTCGGTCGAGGGCCGCTCGTCAAAAAATGCCAAACTCTTGTTGATTGCCAAGGCTGCATTTATGCAGTGCATAATAACTTTACGCATGCGCCATATTCGTTTAATGTATAACGGGAGGTATAAGCTAGGTAAAATATCTAATTATGTATTTCAGTTAATGTTGCAGATTGCATTGTTCCTTAATCTTCTAATTTGGTCCGACTATTATTTTGCAGACGTTAGAGCAATTTTAAAAAGTAGCTGAACTTTCGATTAGCAAAAAAAGTTTCCAATTCTGGAGATGCCAAAGGATCTACAAAGGAAAGCATGTTTGATGTCATCAAACAAAAAGGGAATTACTGTGGAAAATGGTAAAGGCATGAGAAAGGACAGAGAGGTAGGAAAACAAAAAAAAAATTTCGATTGGACAGTTAGTCGTATTCTCGGCACAAGCCATAAGACTTGACAGTGGACTTTGTAACTGAACAAGAAATTGTTGTTTATAGAATTAAAGAGAAAGTATTACAATAAACGAAGCATTAAACAACTAATTTGAAGAAATTTCATAAGTAAACAAAGAAATTTAAGATTTGGTGTCCCTGTGTTAATTTTGATACCTTAGATCATAATGATCTTATTTCATAAATTACGGTTTATATTTTTAATTTATAATTTCTGCATAGCCATCTTTACCAGATTTAAATTGCTGATTCATAATCTGGAAAGCACGAAGTCGCGCGAGTCCGATTAAAGACTTGTCACTGTGATACATTTTGGTAATTAAAAGCATTGAAAGCTATGGTTAAGACTGT